TTAAGGGTCCGATTATCGAGTCACGACTGTACTGTATAGTTGGTAATGGAGAGGATTACTGATTAGCCACCACACATGGATTTAGTCATTTAGTTTAACTGTCTTGAAGGAGCCTTCATGATGTAATGTCAGTCTATTTGAGATGTTAGTCTGTAGTCATCACTCTAATGGTGATTCTTAATCACACTGAGACTCATCCACTGTTGATAAAACTGCTTTTAATTCAGCCACCAACAGTTAATGCTCACACCATAGTCTGCTCAGTTACATTTGGAATTTGAAGAACAGTTAAAGTAAACATTACTTGAATTATGAATTGAACGGCACAAAATAAGATCTTTATTTGAAATTGCTCTCCAATGATTAGCCTGATAAAATTGAAAGTATTGAACAAAGAAAACAAGCTGCTGTCTTTCACAGTAAATAACCTGCATCAGCTTTATGTCAAAATAATCCTCACAGCTGATCTACATGATGGAGTTCACTGTAGCTACGTTAAACAGATAAACACCAATACCATCACAGCAACTTTATCAGTCCAGGAAATCTGTCAGTGTTTACTCTAAGATGTTTTTATACTCGGGTAATAGTTTTTAACCAAAAAAACTAGTAACAGCAATCAATTGATTAACAGTTAATCAGTAACAACAAGGATTAGGGCTGAATGATTCGAAGCCAAACTGTAGTTCAACAGTCATTCTGTCACAGATTCCAGACACGATGATGCTTTACCACATCAGATAATAAAATCATGACTGTCACACAGGAGCATACATTTATAGAACCACTGGCATGACTATTTAGACCCTGAGTCAGGTGTTTAGCTTTTGAAATCTGCCGTTTGCATTGCTTCAGATTTTGATTTGAAAGCAGCTGTTCAGCCCGACAGGATGTGAGACAGAGATACGAATAGGGAGGAGGTGAAGCTGAAAAACGTTTCCTCCCAGAGCATCAGTTATTAATGATCAGCTGTCAGGTCCAACCGACACCCATCAAGGTGCAGCATTCATACACTGCACCGCTCGATGAAAGACTTCTACCCAGCGTACGGCTTAGTGCTGCTTGATCTGAGCCTCGTCTGCCCTCACTCCTCCTCTCCATGAGAGGCATTCGGGTAGCTGGAAGATCCTCCATGATGGTGGAGGAGGAGTGGAAGGAGAGAGGATGAGAGGAGGAATGAATGTGAATATTGAAAAGCACCCCCTGCACCAGTCTGCCCTTCGGTGTAATTAAAGCCGTCTGATGAAATCGTGTGTTTTGTTTGTTTGCCTTCAGGTTTTATGTGTTTATTTGTTCTGTTTGTAACGGGGGTCCAGAGTACCTCAACCGCCTGCCTCTCAGCTGGTGAGTACATCTTTAGATGTGTATTTAACTTTGACAAAAATAATAATAATTATAAAACACACATGCATGTGATTGGTCTTCATTCTGAACCGCCTCCTACACCAAACACTAGAGCCTATAATAAGTCCTGCATGTGTTTTCTTCCCCCTACAGTAGTAACAACACTCTGAGCAGCTTCCTGCATGTTTTTACTCACATTTGTTTTCTTGTTATAAGATTCTTTTGGAAAGCAGACTGAGAAAACACAGCTTTTTACTTTCAGGAAAGATGTCACACACCTGAGCCTGTACAATCTGAGTGTGATCCACAAGAAGAAGTACTTTGACTCCGAGATGGACCTGATGGCTTACATCAACGACAACTGGGGGCTGCTGCAACTAGGAGAGGCAAGGACCAGTAGCCAGATCTAGGCTGACATAAATGGTTTTATTGTCTGGTGTTTTAATATTTAATTTCATATCAAAGAGTGTGCTTTTTAAATCTGGCACAAGGTGACAGGAATTAGTGACCTGGTCTATGTTTCTGATGAGTGTTGAAGCTAAATGCACGAGCAGAACTCGTGTTGATTGGGAGCCAGTAAACTACATCACTAGCGTGTCTGCACTATTCTAAATGAGATTTTGGAACCATGTGGAGTTCATTTTTAACTCTTGCACCCTGTCTTCCCTGTTCCCCTGCGTCTACAGCTCGCCAACACTCCAAGATCAGAGCGATACGAAAGTGTTCTCGGGGCTCTAAACAACAACAGCTGCATGTAAGTTAACCTCTTACTTTGATAACTGCTTTTAAATGTCCTCCCATCTTTTGCTCTATGTGCAATGAGATACGGTGGCTCGGTGGTTAGCACCGTCGCCTCGCAGTTACAAGGTCACCGGTTGGCGTCCCGGTGAGGACACTCGGGATCTTTCTGCGTGGAGTCTCCATGTTCTCCCCGTGCAGCGTGGGTTCTCTCCGGGTTCTCCGGCTTCCTCCCGCAGTCCACAAACATGCTGAGGTTAATTGGTGATTGTAAATTGTCCGTAGGTGTGAATGTGAGTGTGTTTGGTTGTCTGTCTCTAAGTGTAGCCCTGTGATAGACTGGTTACCTGTCCAGGTGAACCTGCCTTCACCCTGAGTCAGCTGGGTTAGACTCCAGCCCCCCATGACCCTAGTGAGGATTAGATATGGATGGATGTACTGAGACTACCCGTTCTCCCTTTGCCGTCTCTCCCAGGTTCATGTCAGGGAAGGAGGTAAAGAAGAAGAAGCACTTGTTCGGCCTAAGAATCCGCTTCCCTCCTGCTCCTCCCAACTGTGACGAGCCGTCCGGCAGAGTGATGGAGAAGGCTTCACACGAGATCACCATCAAGGGGTGCAAGTCCACCAAAGCGCTGTCTGCCATGAGGTGAGATGTCAAACTTACTGAAATTCAAAAAGGAATTGTTGTAAAAGAAGAACTAAATATCAACATTTTTCCAGAATCACAGACTTACAAACTGCTGTTATCTGACTGATGGGATGTGCGTGATAATGATATAAAATAAGATGAAGAAACAAAACAGAAAACTGTCCCTTATCTTGATTGTTTCATCACGTGCGACTGCATAACACTTCCACTGTTATATCATCTTAACCGTCACGTTACTTGTGAAACTGTTGTGAAATGTTGTTATTGTTGTTGTCGCTTCAGAAGTTCTAGTGCTCTAACCAATGGCACGGACAAGAAGAAGAAAAAGAGGAAGCAAGGAGCTCGTTCTCTGGAGTCTCTGGCTAAACCACAACGCTCCACTGAGCTGTTGTCCCAGGTGTGTGTGTGCACGTTTTCTTTTTCTGTGTATATCTTCGGAGGCGGGAGCTGGGTGTGTTCATATTTTGGAGCGAGGTGTGTGTTTTAGACTAAACTTTAACCTTTTATTGTTGATGTTAAGAAAGTGTTTGATAAGGAGGAGCCACAGTGAGACATACTCATGATTTGTACTTTGCTTTGACAGGAAATCAGAAAGCCTCTACCACTAGAGTCCCATGCATTGGATCACTTAACCTCTATCAAGTAAGTGAGCAAAGTGCAGCCGTGATGGTTCGCTGTGTCAGACCAACTACTCGTCACTGTTTTCATCTTTGCATTTTTATTGTTTTGATTCATTGTTTGGACTAAAACACATTAGAAAGTATTAAAAATGGTTGTTATCAGCAGTTTTCTTTTTCTAGTCCTAATGTTTTCGTCCCTTTTTAAAATCTCCCCTCCTCGCTGCACCAGGAGCGACAGGTCTCTGCTGTCTTCACGAACTTCAGATGTGGAATCCATAGGAGCCCTGAGCACCTCAGAAACTACCTCAACTAGCATTTCAAGACAGTCCAGGTGAGCCTGCTATGAAACTGCAACATTAACATTTAGCTCAACAAAACCCAGTGCACAGGTAGAGCCTCCCGGAGCCACCGACTCACAGGCTGTCCACTCTCGTTTTTGTTTTCACTCTAATAATTAACAGCAGGTTTTTTTTCCCCACTTCTTCTTTTCCTATCAAACACCCTCCAGCCTCTGTAGTTCCAGCAAGACACGTGCAGCAGCCAGCATTATGCCCGTTTCCCCTCCGCCTATAAAAAGGAAACGTGGGCGACCGCGACGGGCCCTGCAGCCCCCCAACCCAGAGATCCCTCCTCCTAGCCATGCAGACACAAACCCGTCGGCCGCAGAGATGCTCAGCAGCCTCCCGGGCCTTCACTCCACAGACATAGTTCACGGCATGGACCCCAACAGCCAGCTCTCCCACCTCAAGAGCTCCATCAGCAGCTATTTCGGAGCAGCTGGGCGTCTGGCTTGTGGGGAAAAGTACAAAGTTCTGGCCCGACGGGTCACCCTTGATGGCAAGGTGCAGTACTTGGTGGAGTGGGAAGGAGTCACTGCCTCCTAGGCTTCATCACTCTCACCCTCTGACTCTTAACCAGCACCGTCAGGAGGATGAGGCCGTGCTGAGGACATGTGTATTCGGAGCATTAACTGATATATGCCTTTGTTTAGTTTAGACAGGAGCGAGTTTTGCCTGTTGAGCTTCCTGTAAAGCCTACTGGTTCAGTGTAGTCCAGAGTGGTTACCACACGCATGTATCGCCGCGTTCAAGGATTACAGCTGATCAGTCAACGTGAAGAATGGTCACGCCACACCATATCTGCCATATCTTACCTTCTCGTTATGTGCTTTGAATGTTTACAGAAACCCCCCATTTGTTCTGGGGCCAACAGTCGTTCTGTACACTGCACCTGTAGGCTTTCAGTGACCCATTTATTATGCTTGATTTTTAATCCAGTGATATGCTTTTCGTTTCCAGACCAGTTGAGTATGAAACTGTAAGTTTTTGTGACAGAATGTAGTTGGTCAGGTATTAAAATGGTGAATCTTGGAGGGTGTAAGAGAAAGAGGGGCAAATTTTAATTTAAACATTAACTGTTTGACAGCTGCAATTGCGCAGTAAACAAAAATACTGCTCGTTTCGTTATTTTTAAAAATAATTTTTTTTATACCAAATGTGGTAATAAAACATGTCCCTTTACAACAGTGTCCCCCCTCTGAGTCCCAGCTCTGAGTACCTCCGGTTGCGTTGGCAGGCTTATCCTTCAACTCTGTTTTGGAAAGCGTGCTAGTTTTTGAGCAGTTAAGGAGGAACTCAAAGAGACGTGCTGCTGCAAATGTTTATTATTTTATATAGAACTATACTACATTTGTTATTACCCTTCTTGTTCTTTTTCATATGCCTTTTCTGTTCAGTAGGGCAGACATCTTATGTTATTTTAATTATGGATTCACTTGCACGTATCAAGTTCTATCCGTTAGGCCAATATGTAATAATTTAAGGTTTTCAGCTTATTATTAAAGGAAGTGTTTCTTCAGGAGTTTAAATGTGGGATTCTTAGCATCCTTAAATGTCAAAAGGCCAGACCTAAAGGGTTTCCTCGTAAATCGTGTCCATTCTGGAAGAAAAAAAAACAAACTTTGTTTGCATAGATTTTGTGAAGAAGCTTCAGTGTCCTTGTCTAAATACATAGCCTTTTTTTTTTTTTCTTTTAAAGCATTTTGATTTAAAATGAATAACACGACTGTTAGCATTGAAAGGACCTAATTTAGTTTTATTTCGTCTGCTTGTTCAGTTTCTGCAGAAGATGAATGTTGTACACCCATGTTCCCAAACCAAGAGTTCAGACTTGTTTTGCTTTTTATTTTTGTGCTGCCTATGCAAGTTAGTCCTGGAAAAAGCTGTTGTTCAGAATTGGACCGTATGGCTTGAGAAAGGGGAGCTGCAGCATCGTTGGTGTGATGATTTGACTCAGGCGTTCAATTTTCCGTGTGATGAGTGCAACAGAAATGCGCTTCGTTGTTTTTTTTTTTGTTTTTTTTTACGTCAAGTTCACGTTGTGGTCTGCACACTCAGGACATGCCCCAAAACTTCATTGCGTTGGCCAGCTTTTGCAGCATGACAGGTGGTTTTGATACAAGTTGTTCACTCGTTGTCGGTCAGTGTTTTATATCCGCTTCTGTATTTCTCATTACTTTGGACCGTATTAACATGTAAGCTTTTTTTTTCTTTTAATTTTTTGAGCAAAAATAATTGGTAGTCCGTTTTACTGCTACACTCGCTTGTTTAAACTGAGTCAGAAAACAATCACTGGAAAACTAAAATGCTGTATGTCATTGCAAGAGGTAAATATTCAGTTCGTATCTCTTTTTGGAGATGTTTCTGCTTTTGTTAAAGATGAACACACACTGATAGGTCTTGTTTTGTAGGGATGTATTCAGTGCATTTGAAGCTTCTCTCTGTGTTCGGTCAGTGTCTCAGCCCACACGTTGCTATCACTGGCTTCCAGCAGGCTTCTGCAGCCAAAGAACATACATGTAACGTCTGCTTTGTCTTTTGAGATTCTTCTTATTACATTTTTATACATCATTATATAGGTTGACGTGTTACTTGTGAACCTGTTTTGTTAAAAATAAATAAAAGCAGATATTTTGAACTGAGTGTCTGAAGTTTTACTGCTGCAGTCAAACAACAAATGTATTCATCCCCTTCCGTTAAAGAAAAGGCAAAATCCACAATAGTCACTCAAATAACTAGAAATTGAAAAAAGTAATGATAAATAAAAATTTGCTAAATTATAATTTGGTGAAATAAGACATTGCTTTTGAATTGTGGTTGAAAAGAATAATTTTAAAAAACAAAATTGTCCTGGACAAATTAGAGCACTTTGCTGATGAGCAGTGAGCCACAATACCTGTCAACAGGTGCAGAAGTCTGACTGAGAGTTATAGAAAAAAGTTCAACAAAATATGAGTTTACAGGTCACATTATGGTTGTTTGCTTGTTTTTTTTTATTTTTTAATATATTTCTGTTGAGCCACAATTCAAAAGCAATGTCATGATTTTCATTAAATTTTTTATTTGTTATTACTTTTGTCAATTTCAACTTATTTCGGTGACTGAAGCTGTTTTTTTCCTTCATTAATGGGAGGCTATGAATACATCTGAGGACTGTGCATGAGAGGTTCCTAATCAAGACGAAGACGCGCCGTTGTTCGCGGCTGCCTTCGTCGACAATCCTCTCCACCAATCAGGTCACAGACAGCTTCATGTTGTCCAATCACGGAGCACGTTGTTAGGATATGGGCGGAGCTGAAAAATTACAAACCGTTCTGGATACATTTCCCTTCGCTGCATCTCCGCTGGGTAAACCGTCAAAATTTGTTGAAGTAGAAGTTACTAGCACATACTCCGGGTTTTTACAGCGCCAAGACAACTGAGTTAACTTTTATCCAAATACATAAAAGCTGTCTGCTGTTAGTTCGGCCGCATTTGCCGTAGAAACAACGATAACGTGAACTAGCTAGCCACCTGTTGATGCAGCGAGCATCTTTGTTTACATGTAGCCACCGTAGCTATGCTAGCTTGTTTGTAGGTTTTTACTGTACAAACAAGTGTCTATAACATGACTGTGTGACGGTTGGTTAGTTATATGTTTTCTATAAGTGTTCAGCTGTCCACACAGGCTGCAAGTGTCACTTTGGGGAGTAGAGGCTAACCTGATTAGCTGCTGGTCGACATGCACTCGTTAGTGTCATGTCTGAGGAGGGATTAACTAGAATCCCATCAGTTTGAGGAGTCTGCTTCGATTAACGGAGCTCAGCTTGCAAAATGTGGCACAGAAACTGACTGTAATCGCTTTAACAGTCTGAAGCATGACTCTGAACACTACATCCCATAAAGCTTTAATTTAAAAAAAGAAGTAATAATGTCTGTATTTTCTGTGCAGTATTTTTAGTGCTGGTACTTTCTTGCATATTTTGTCAATACAGGTATATTCATGCCAGTGTTTTCTCTTTGAGCTCAGATTTAATTTTCAAATGAACTCACTCTTCTGGCTCCCTGCTCGTAAAAAGTCCCTTTGAGCAGCCATGCAGCTGTTATCCTGCACACATCAAACATCTGCAGCCTAGCTTCATAAGTCACATCTAAAGTGACCACAGGAAATGAACTGGAGCATGCTGCTGCAGTACATTTTATTAGCCAGCTCCTATATATATTTACATGTAAGCAATTTGACTCCAAAAGTTCCCCCTACATGATACACATCTCTATAAATCAGTGTGCAGGAAGATTTTTTTATGTAGCACTGATACACAAATCACAAACACTGCACAGATAAGTTAAACACAGTTTGTATTGCTTCTAAGATAAATCCATGCAGAGGTGGATTATGTGCAGCTCTTGATAAATGGGGCATTTAGAGTTTGTCCTAGAGAAGAAGAATCTTTTCTACCATACGGTGGATTTTGATGAGTATTTTCTCATTTTTTAGCGTCTACCAGAGCGCAGAAGTTGTGTCAAGTTGTGATCACTCCGAATGGATTTAATTTGCATGTCTGTTTTCTTTAAGATTCAAGTCAGATTGGTTTCATTTGAACTGAGCAGAACTCTGTAGTTTGTGTATAAGACACTAAAGTTTTTTTAAGTAGTTAGTGCGATGCTGTATTTGACTGTTCCATCGTTCTGTCCTGATTTCCTTCCAGTCCTCACAGGTCCCTCGTATAGTCAGTCAGAGGGTCATGATGATGGATGCGTTCAGCAGAGTCCAGTTTCTCTGATCCTACAAGATCTGCAGACTTCAGATGATTTCTGTGTCCCAGTCAGGCTGCGTTTGCCAGTAGAAGATTCTCAGTGGGGCGACTGAGTTAGTTGTGTCAGTCCATCCGACTCCAGCTCTAAGGTAAGAAAAAAATACCTGAATGAAGCTTTAAAAAAATGGGCATCCACTTTTACAGGCTGCCAGATTAACTTGAGCTTTATCTACTTTTGGGGTAATTATATGAGTAGTAAGTTTAAAAGATTTTAATGTTATGCGTCAGTGTGGCCTGTTTGAGGGGAAATCAGTGATCTGTAAATGAAATGTCATTAAAACGATGTTTGGTAATTAACAGGATAGTGTAACATTAAAAGATAAAGGAGCAAACTGCTTTTAACCCCCCCCCCCCATAACAAACATCCACTGCTGTATTCTCTCCTTCTATTCAGTCTACCTCATTTATTAGAGATGGAGTCTGTTTCTGCGAGGAAGAGGCTGGGCTGTGTGCGACAGGAGAACTGCCTCACCTTCCAGGATGAGCAGCTCATCAGTGAACTAGACGCTGAGCAGTATGAACTGGCTACCTCCAAGTCCCAGGTATGACACTCATCCCTATGCTCATGATTTGTGTGAAAAAGGTGCTGCAATCGTAAAAGACTGCCCAGTACCTGCAGATGAGTGTTGTGTGAAATCAGGGTTTGTTTCGACATCAGAAGAAGAGATTGCTCTAGTTCCTTCCCTTTAAATGTCAAAGCACAGCAATGAAGTAATTAAAAATAGCAAAAGTCTGTCAACTGAACAAACGGATAGCCTGCTGGATCCTTGTGCTGTGTGTGCTTCCTTTTACAGGTCCGCCTCAGAGGCCCCAGGACTGGGCTTAACAATAATGTGGCAGCTATGAGTGAACAGATTCGTCAGCTTGAAGCAGAACTGGACGCTCAGGCCAAAGAACTAAAGTAACCTCATTACCTCAGCCTGTACTTCTTTAGATGGCAGTTGCATGCCTATTTTTATACACTGCAAACTGAATTAGTGTTCAGATTGTGTAATGTGCTCTAAAGTTCAGTCAGTCACTCATTAAACTAGAACTGTTGACAGACTTTTGATATAAACCCTGTCGTTAGTGCTCCTGATGATTTACCTTTACTTTTATTTTGAAACCGTTCCATCAACCTCCAGCTGAAGCCGAGCATTAGGATCGTGATCATCCGCCACTGTCTGTGTTTCGCAGGGCGGCAGAGCTGAGGGCAGAGTGTTGTCAGGAAGCAGCAGCTCACAGCGACATTTTGGTTGCAACACTGACTGACGAGCTGAGCACGCTCAGAGAGGAGCTGGAGAACAAGATGGCACTGGGAAAACGGTGATGCCTTTATCTGGGCCTCTGCACTTGATTTAATTAGAGTACAGTTCACAGTATGGGTAAAACCATGACCATATGAATTAATCTGGTACGATAGCTTTGATTGTGGTTGTTCAGCATCATACTGGAACATTTTTAGTTGAATTAAATGAAGGGACTGACTTGAGGATCAGACGCCCTTCGTTAAAGCTGGAGGATCAGGATTCATTAACTGTATTTTCACTAATAGATATTCCACACCATCCCTTGCAGGGCTGAGCAACAAAGGAACCAAGCACTTCAAAATGCAGAGCAACTCAAAGAAGCTTTTAAAGATTATAAGGCTGCCACTTCCATCAAGCTTAACAGGGTAGGTTTTTTTTATTTTTTTTTTTTAAATCTTTCCTTTTTCACTGATAATCTCATTTGTGCTTGTGTTGATTCCAACAATGTGTTTTAATTTGTGTCTTCTAGGTGATGGAGAGTGAGAGTAAACTAAAAGAGAGTCTTATTGAATGTGACAGAGAAAAAGAAGAGCTGGAAATGAAGTGTACTGTTTTGGAGGGAGAGAAGTCTGAACAGAGCCAAACAATAAAGTACTCACATGAGACCGGCCGTCTCATTTCCCTGCATTGTTACACGGGTTGTTTAGTTCTTGGATGTAGACGTAGAAATAAGGACGACTTCTAATCATCATCTGATTTAGAATTTTCTTCTTCCAAGTCTTTCAACGAATTGACTTTGATTTGTTGAGCGATTTATTTAATCAACAGCGTTTGTTCTTGTCTGTGTCCCAGCCAGCTGACGGAGGCGGTGAGGCGGGCCGAGGCTGCAGCTGCTGGCCTCCAAAGCCAAGCTGAAGAGTCTGAACGAAAGGCCTCACATCTGGAGCGGCAGCTTGTAGAACGAGGTGCAGAGTGCAGAGAGATGGCAGCTCTGCGCAGAGAGTTGAAAGACCTGCAGACTCTGACCCACAGTCAGGAGCAGAGGGTGGCCCAAAGCCAGAGGGAGGCTCAGCAGAGCCAGACGGAGCTGGCCGGCCTGGAGGCCATACTGGCCCTGCTGCATCTGCGAGAGGTGGAGAGGCGTACATGCATACACACACTCACATCATCATTTTGTTGTCTCGTGTCGTGTTATTTTGTCTTCCGTAATGTTTGAGCCAAAGTCTTGTGACATCATCAGTTTGTTTGCTTCCTCACACTTGGTTTGATGCTGCAGCAGCTGTCCAAAACAAGTCCGTTTATTCATGGCTGATGTTGCACAGGAGATGATGTCCTAACATGTGTTATATGTTATTTTTTAATTTAAGGGTGCCATGTGGTCTCTCTGTGCCAGTCCTTGCATGTTGCCCCAAGTGGACTATTCAGGAACTGCACACCTGCGACAACTAAAGCCAGGTGAGCTGAAAGCCTCGTATCATGCGGTATTTATGGCTGTTAACAGGGACTTAAGCATCACACTCATCCTCATGTATCAGTCTTTTTACAATCTCTTTTACAAGAATGTCCTGGCCAAGACAGGCAGCAGCACAATTGACAGACAGACAAGGTGGATGCTGTTGTGACCTTGTCTGTCTGTCAATTGTGCTGCTGCCTGTCTTGGCCAGGACACTCTTGTAAAAGAGAGTTTTAATCTCAGTGAGCCTTTTCCTGGTTAAATAAAGGTTAAATAAAAAAATAAATACATGTAATAATTTTTGACTTGCAATGCTTCTGCTCAGCTTCCTTTAAATCTTGAAAGAAAATGAAAAGTTAATTTGCAAAAACAAGTCTGGGCGGCTCTGCTAAGGCTGCTGCCCCCGCGACCCGACTCCGGATGAGCGGGAGAAGATGGATGGATGGATGGCATTTGCAAAAACAGATAACTCCATTTCTGTAGATTTTCAGATTTTGTTGTTTGCTTGAGATAAAATCAGTCAAACTGAAGCTGAGTGGATGTGACTCAGTAGAAATGACAACAACAGAGATAACTAAGGTTTGACTGATGTTGTCTCAGGTAGACGATGGAAAAGTTCTGAAGGTTTGTGAAGATGGAGTTACCTGTTTTTACAAATGAACTCTTCAGATGTTTACAGTGTGATATGAAAACCAGAAGCGTTCCAGTCCTATCTCTCCCTGCCTCTCTGTCCTTGCAGGTGAAGGCTACCAGCAGCTGCTGCGAGTGCTGCAGTCGATGGAAGCTGAGCGGAAGAAACAGAGCGGCCTGATGGAGCGGCTTCAGGAGCGTCTGAGCAGATCCCAGGAGGAGATCTGCTCCCTGCAGAGCTCCATGGCCCAGAGAGCCTCCCACTACCAGAACCTCCACACAGAGCTGCTGGACAAAATCAGCCAAGCTACTGACACAGAGAAAGAGGCAACGCATTTTCTGATCTCCTGTCACGTCATCATTTGACTTTCTTATTTTCCTACATTCTTATTTTAACTTTATTTAAAGTAGTAATTAATATGTTCTCAGTGTGTCTCGTCACACAGAACAGTGTAATAAAGCATCCAGCCAGATATAACACATTAAAAAGATTGCCAGATTTATAAAATTAGATTTCAGAATGGGAGTTTGTTTTAACCGGACCTAAAGGCTTAGATGTGAGGCCACACGTGCACACTGTGTAGCAAATGTTTTAGTCACCTTGTGACTGTGGGCCAAGTTACCGACTTTAATAAACAAAAGACAGCCTATGTTCATTTGTGGGTACAACAACTGTAGACAGAGAAAGTTAGTTAACCAGGATTTGATTATCAAATAAAGTCTGTAAAGCTAATTATTGTAAGATGTTCAGTGCAGAGGCAGGTGTTAGTGGTGCTGCTTTGCTCTCCGTTAGTGCAGCTCATCACAAAATCAGTGCACCTCTTTCTCATCTCGTTATTCATAGTACATTTAAGTAAGCTGATCTGAAAACTGGGCTGCAAGGTGGCTCGGTGGTTAGCACCGTGGCCTCACAGCTAGTAGGCGAGGACACCCGGGACCGTGGAGTCTCCATGTTCTCCCCGTGCAGTGTGGGTTCTCTCCGGGTTCTCCAGCTTCCTCTCACAGTCCAGAAACATGCTGAGGTTAATTGGTGATTGTAAATTGTCCGTAGGTGTGAATGTGAGTGTGCTTGGTTGTCTGTCTCTAAGTGTAGCCCTGTGATAGACTGGTTACCTGTCCAGGTGAACCTGCCTTCACCCTGAATCAGCTGGGATAGACTCCAGCCCCCAATGACCCTAATGAGGATTAAGGTGTAGAGATGATGGATGGATGATCTGAAAACCACAGAGTGAAGATGCATTTGCAGAGCTCACTAGCAAATTGATGTCTTTATAGCGTTACAGTGCTAGGGGAAGGGTCCTGGTCAGTATGGCGGCATTCAGCCACGATTTCTTCACCGTCTTTTCACATGTTTTAACAAACTGTTTTCTTACATGTTTGAAAACCATATTTTTTTCCTCTTTACACTTACTTTAATTCTGCACATACTTCAGTGTTGTAGCTCTTCTTTAATTCTGTCTACCCATCAGGACTGACTGAATCATTTACACGCAGCAATGTGGTGTTTGATATTTTAAGTATTTTGCTTTTAACATTGTCTCAAGCATCAGATCCAAACACAAGTTTTATACAAAGCGTTTGTGGAGTATTAAAGCTGTTTTCCAAAGTTTGGGAGGTTATTATTGTTAAAGATGATCTGATATTCTGACTGAATCGTTCTCTGTGTTTCACCTCAGTTAAAAAGAAAAAGTGCACGAGCCGCTGCGTTGGAGAAACAGCTGCAGGAGAAAACTTCAGCTTATGGTCAAGCTGCCCTGAAGAACACTGAGCTGGAAAATCAGCTGCTGGTACAACAGACACCCACACACACACTCAAAAGCTGCATGTGTTTGTTGTCACGACCCTTATTTTTTTCCATAACGACTTCATCAAACCGCTGCCAGAAAGTAAAAGGGAAGTTCTAGTCTGGTTATTTCTAATTGCAGGAAAATACCAGCTCTCTTCAGCATTACCAGGCGCTGATGGCCAAGAAGCAACGAGAGTACCAGCAGTCCCTGGAAAAGTGTAAACAAGCTCAAACTCATCAGTTCACGGAGCAACAACACAGAATAGAAATGGTGATCTACAGTTTTGTCTAGCTTGCCTTCTCCTGTTGCTGTTAAGTTAATCTTAAATCTGTTTAAATAGACACAGGTTTGATTTCGGTTAGTAAATATGCTGCATCCAAAAGCCGATGAAGGAGACGAAGGGAAGTTTTGTGCCCTGAGTCAGTTGTGCATGTATGTAGTGATACTAGCTGTAGTAATCGTATTTTCCGTCCTCTGCAGTTACAGGTAACTGTGGAAGAGGCTCATTCCCAGCTGCTGAAGATGGAGCAGGAGTTGAGTTCCCTCCAGAGGGAGCGAGACGAGGCTCAGACAGCAGCTCTGGTGCTGCAGACGTCTTTAGAGCAGCTCACACAGGTCAGAGCACTGATACTGTAAGACCAGAGGTGCATCTTCTGTTGTGGTTATATAAAGAATGTCAACCATTTAAAACAAATACAGAGAATACTGAAAACTTTAAGTTCCTCTCTGGACATTAATTAAACCCCCAAACACTTATCTCTGAGTATCAGAGTTAAATATATAGAGAAGTTATTTTACCATGGAAATAATCCCTTCCTGTCTTAAAAGGAGCTGGCAGTAACTCTACACCGCTGCTTGTGTTCGAACCAATTCTGAAGAAGAAGAATGATACAGAGAGCTTCACTTTACAAGTTGACAGGATCAGTTTCTTTGGTCTGTTACGTAAGAATCCCTGAAAGTCTGAAGTTGTTTAGATAGAGTCCAGTTTTTCAATATTCAGCCTTGGACGTTGTCACCTCTCTGCTGCTGATGAGTGGAACAGAGACGCTGAGTCACGGCACTGGGGAGCGACTATAATTATGACATCCTTTAGATTTTCCTAGAAAATTCAAAGTCCTTTACAAAGAAATCAGTCCACAGGAAGTTACAGGCAGCAGCAGCAGAACATTTGATTTTACATCACAGTCCGTTCACACGTTGTTAACAAACAAGCGACACAAACTACTTCCTGTTCTTACATTTTGGATTTAATTTCAGGAAAAACAGGTTGAAGCCAGACACAATGAGGAGCTGCTGCAGAGTTTCAAAGAGCAGGCAGCTCAATCTGCCACCAAGGTTTGTACAAACAGCTGGTGCATAAAGGAAACACAAATCAGTTTAACTGTACAACAAGCCCTGAATCCCACCACAGCTCCTCCTAGAGTTACCAAAGCCAGTGAATATAGGCTGTTCACCGTCTGTGATTTATGTTCATACGACAGGTGTATGAACTACAGTCGTCTCTGTCAGCGTGTCGAGAAGAGCTGAACTTGTACCGGCGGCACATGGAGGAAGTGAAGAAGAACTATGAGACTGAGCTGCAGGAGAATGTTGAAAAGGTGAAATAGTTTTTCAGTCTTTATGTCTGACCTCCTGTTCCTAATGCTATGCTCCTGTCTTGGGCTCATCCTCTCCTCCGTTTCCTGCTCCTCAGGTGTCGTCCCTGCAGGAGAAGCTCCACAGCAGCAGCTTGGTGTGTCAGAGCTCCAGCGAGCAGAACCTACAGCTGCAGGTTTCTCTGCAGCAGCAGCAGACCATGCTGACTGAGAGCACCGCTCGTGTTTCTGAGCTGGAGGAGAGCCAGAGCCAGCTGCAGAGACAGGTGAGTGAGAGGCTCAACACACTTCGATAGAACATGTGCAATTTGAGTTCTTTTTGATATAGTTTTTCTTGTACACGCTGTCTGAAATAGGATTGTCTTGTAGAGTGGCAACGACACGTTTATTAATCATTCAGTGCTTAAACCAAAAATACTGTGAATAGCATCATTTGTAAACTAACATCACCTCGTTCTACTTTATGCTCTGTCTTTGCAAACAGCAGATAGTTAGGATTTGGACTGTTGTTTTTTTCTTCCATTTTCTTCCAGTCGTGCATAGGTATATTATGTTATTATTATATGTGTATTACTATATATTTTTTAACACGATACATCATTTGTTTATATTTTATTTAACTTTATTGACCAAGCTAGTTAGGTTTAGTGGCTTTTAGGTGGCTATAGAAAATGATGACTGCATTGAAACTGCTTAATTCTGATTATATAATTTATACAAAAACCAAAGAGGATTTAACTTTAGGTTGCACCCAAAGCTGTTCTCCAGCCAGGTTTAAATTTGATTTGCTTTTGCACACTTTTAGTGTTTGGTCAGATAAGATATTTTAACTCCTAATTTCAGTATGTCTTCCAGAACAACAAGCTGGTTTTTCAGCATCATTGTTTTGTTTCGTAAACAGTCTATTGAAAGCTGAATCATGTCCTCATGCTGGACGAGAGGTTTTTACACACAGAAAAGTGATTAAACCCCAAAAGACCTAAAAATATGCTACCCGGAATGACACCGAACCAGGATCCATGCAGGAACCCAAACCCAGACAGGAGCCTCCAATGGATTTCTGTTCCAGACTGAACTTTCTGTCTTCCCTGCTGTGGTAGTCCTCTCCTCTGTGCCTAACTGTGACTCCTATAATCTGTCCTACTTGCCAAGAAAGTTTGGGTTTTCTGTTCTTCTTCTCTTGCTGATTAAAACAGCGAATCCACTCGTTACTTCAGCTTAGAAATCCTCCTCCTGTCATGGTGACGAATGCCTCTCGTTCACAATCAGCTTTGCACTTCTGCTGCATCTGCCATCATAAAGAAGCTCAGGATCCACTCAGGTATTACAGATGACGTTTAACAGACCCGGAACCCAACGAATCGCACAAAACGTAATTTCAAAGCCGCGCTGGTCTCAGTTCCGATGGTTCCTATGGACCTATGGACTTCCTCTATGCTGCTAGTGTTTAATACTGCAGTTGATGTTGCATTGCAGCTTCAGCACAGATCATTTCCACATTTTATCTTTTTTGTCAAAATTAAAAATAAGTTAAAAGAAGGAAAAGAGGAAGCTGCTTTTTTCTTAGCGAGCTTGGAGCAGCTACAGAGCACATTGGGAGCTCTAGGAGTGAGTGTACCCCACTATGCAGACATCCACTGATACGCCCTTCATCAATCACTAAGTTGTGGTGCAGCTGCATCACTGCTTGAGGGGAGCAGCGGTTTGAGCTTGTGATTTCATTTATAGGTCAGCACATTTTAATTGCTGGTTGTACTTTTTGTCCTTCACAACAAAACGGAACAAAATGTTCCGCGAGCAGAGAACAAGAACGGCAATGTGGAGCCCGTGTGGATGAAGGTCTGATCCGGGTCGCAAACAAGAGCTCAGGCTGCCGTAGGCATGAAGTCATCCGAGGTTTCGTTAATGTCCTCCTCACTTGTTCTGACTCATTGCTCCTGGTTTGTACCATGTAACAGTAACGTATGCATAAAGTAGATTTCAAGTTGGATGCTGGTGCTGTCTGTCTGTCTGCAGGTTTCCAGTCTGGAGCAGCAGCTGGAACGAACCCGGTTATCTCTGCAGGATGAAGTCAGAAGCAGAGAGCAGGACGTCCAGCTGAAGGACAAAAACCTGAACGAGGCCAACCAGCAAAACACGCAGCTCTCCGAGTCGGTCAGGTGAGATCACCTGTACACACACTGGCATTGGAATCTGAGTAACAGGATGTAATAGGACCATGATTCGTGACATATCCCTTATTTAAAAGCTTGTCATGTCAGAGAATCACTTAAAATATTACATTCAATGCCAGATATCTCTAAATTACCTGACTACATTGATGGAAAAACAGTGTTTCCCCCAAACTTAAACATGTAGTCTCCCCCTGCTCCAGCTGTTTATCTCAGTTTGTATGGAGCTTTTGTTTGTTTGTATTTTCGTGCTGTTTTTACGAGAGCGCTGTTCATTTCCAGTCCGATCAAATGCCACTGTGAGAAGGTCTTATGATTACACTGTTTGTCTTGAGGCGTGAAGCAGGCCTCGCTCACCTCCCCCATGATCCCTGAATGTGTGTGTATATAAGTCGGGATCCTACTCATAGTTTCACTCTGCGGGGCTGCTGGCTAGTTTCATTTTTGTGGTTTTTAAAGCCAGATAGAAAATGTTGGGCATGTTGGGTGTTTAAATGACCCTCGAAAAGACTCTGTTTACCTTCTGCAACATTTCTGGAGGGTTTTCCTTCTCTGTTACTCTAAGATGGGAGCCATGCTCACACTGAGGTAAGGAAATGTCCAGGAATAGTAAAGAGAATACGTTGTGTACCCTGCTTCATGCTGTCTGTAGTATTTTTTCAGCATCGTGTCTTTTCTTAATAGCAGAAGATGATCAAAAAACAGATTTGTTGGGCTCATTTAATACCTTAAGCTTCTGTTTAAATGCGCTGTATCTTTGACCTTTGCCTGTTGCAGCCATCTCACATCAGAGATGACAAAGTTTCGAGGGGAGCTGGTGTCTAAAGAGTCAGAGTTGGAGCATCTGAGGAGAGAAGTCGCCATCAAGACGTCTCAGATCAGCTGCCTGGAGGAGAGCCTGCAGCACACAAAGAGCCAGCTCATCAGCAAGAGTGACATGGGTGAGACATGGCTTTGTTTTAGTGAGAGTTACTGACTTTTGTTTTATTATTCAGAGCTGAGCACACTGTACAGAATTATCTCTTAAGCTGTGATAGTTTTCATTAACCCAGACTCTGAGGCTGAGCCGGGCTGCTTCGTGTTCTTCTCCGCTCTCTGTCTGTGTCTCATCTTATTCCTTTTGTCCCTCTCGCTCCTCCCAGTTATGGATCTGGAGGAAAAGCTCCACCGCTGCGAGGCCGATAGACTCAGCTGTGTGCAGCGGGTCCAAACCCTGGAGGGCCAGTTACAGACGGTGCGTGAAGAGCTGGCTGACACTCTGGAGCATCTGCAGGAACTCAAGGACGTTCTGCAGAGAACTCAAACCATTGCAGATGAGCGGCGAGCCTCAGTGGAAAAACTGACTGTTCAGCTTAGGTGAGGATACGCCTTCTTGTGAAATGTTCTTCTGCACACAGTGAACGAGCCTGAAATGGAAGGAAACCTCCGTCTGCTGTGTTGCTCAGATAACATCCTCCACTGCGCCTGACTCATCTGTGTTTTGCACAACATCCGCACCGTACATGTGTATCACAAGCACACCGACAGAAAGTCAGTGGCATTACTACTGTTTCAGGTTCCCATGTAAAGTCCCACTCTTCGTCCTGACTGCATGAACATCTTTCATACTGTCATTGCTGATCTTTATTAAATGGAATCTGCTTGTCAAGTCTGACGTCACAGCCATGTCCGGGTCCAAACGCTCCTTCAGATCCTATTAGCAAACAGTTTGGCATCACTAAGAGTTAAAAGGGACTACATTCTGTCAACTCCCACTGATTAGCGGAGCCGTTCACCCAGGTGGAGTTCAGGCATCCGTGAAAAAGAGGATTTACGAATTTGCAAGTTATCAGTTGGCATTCAAAGGTTATATCCCATGTTCTGGCCGAAGTGTTCCTAGAAACACAAACATGTCCAGAATGGCTATGATTCTGAACATAAACAAAGATGAAAAACTAAATGTGTGTTAGCAGGTTTTGGAGGGTTAGTGATGTGAAGCTGGATGACATGTGATCATCTACCACCCCCTGCCTAGTGGAAGTTAGTCAATGACAGACTGCACTTCTAAGTGAGCAGTCAGTATGGACGGTGCCAGAGGGAATTCACCAAAACTGGACAAAACTGTTGCAAAGAGAGTGTCTGAGATGATGCCGTACATGATTAGCTACCAAATCATAACCCAGAACTGAAATCTTGATTGACCAGACAGTGATTCATGTTCTTCTAAAGCATTAAAATACTGACGTCTGATGCACCAAGAGCCTGGAGGCTGTAGCGTGCAGCAGGAGTGTTTAAAAGCTGAGCTATAAATAAATATTGCCAATAAAAGGCTGAAGAGTGGTAGAATGACACTTGAGTAGTTTTTTTTGGGACTCAGATGTATTAAAATAAGACAAAAGCCTCAGGCAACACAAACAGAGGCTTCGACCCAAAAACAGTTTTATCAGAAGCTCAATATGTGACGTCTCAGCAGGCCTTTAATGACTTGTGTTCATTCATACTGACAATGTTCCTCGTTGTTAAGATTTTATATGTGGGTTTCTGTTTATTATCTTTATCAAAGGCTTGTTTAATGTGTCATTTAAATCGACTAACTCACACTTACGCTTTGTCGTGTGATGTATTCTGTTTAAAACACTAATACAGACAAAAACTGGGTCCATTTAAATCACATGTTGGGCAACACAGTGTGCCGCTGTTAACGTCAGTCACTCGACAACAGAGAAAAACATGATGCTTCATGTTTCAGTTCATTATCGTCAGTCACTTATAGAGAAAACAAAGGACACGTGTTGGTATATCAGAGACATGCAGATAATTGATACAGGATTTAGTCACAGTTGTCATGATGCAGATGACAGTCACACGCTCCCGTACACGCAAGAAAGGCGCTGCCATCAGTCCACTTCAGACCTTTAGTTTGCTCAAGTGATGCTTCCAGCATGTGGGACATTAATTAGATACGTATCTGGTAACCTTTTCAGTAAGAGAACGTTTGTGTGACTTCACAGTGAGACCCAGAGGGAGCTGGAGGAGCGAACTCACGAGGTCTTAGACATGGACAACGCGCTGAAGGAAAGGCAGGGGGAGCTCCAACAGAGAGCAAAGCTGGTACAGCAAACACACACTCACACACACACACACACACACACACACACACAGAGTCACAAGTTTTACGTACATTAAATTTAATTTGTTTTGCTGCCCTGTCTCCTCTTTTTTTTCCTTTGCCCTGGGCGTCCGTCTTCCTCAGCTGGGCCAGCTGGACGTGGCCATCAAAGAGCACAAGCAGGAGATGGAGAGGAAGGTGGAGTCTCTGCAGCAGAGGCTGGAAGCCAGAGAGAAGGAGCTGAGAGAGGCCCAGAGGCAGCTGACAGACCGAAACATGAAGGTCAGGACTCACACAGAGCAACACGACACATCAGAAGATGTGTTTCATGTGTCACTGTGTCGGCCGTAATAGATATTTGGAAAGGTGTTTGTTTTCAGTTTGACATTTTTACTGAAAGTTTTGGGGAAAAGCCACAACTGCATTGGAGAAATTAAAGGAGGCAAAGCCCACAGTGATGTGTACTAAATGATACAGATAAAGTGTTATCTGCACAGTACTTTCTAAAATATAACCTAGTTCACTCAGTGTGTGCAGCTCTGAACGAGACGTGAGAAAACAAAACAGTCACCAACAGGTTAAAGTTCATTATCCATTATTGCAGTGTTGTGCTGCAAACTGGGCTGATGATGATATTGATTATATTGAAACTAGTGATGCACGATATTAAAATTTCAGGCTGATATCCAATATTAAGATTTCTGATATCGCCGATAACCGATATCACCGATGTTGATATAAATTTTTGTTCACACGGAAAGTAAGCACTGTGAGAAAACTATTCAAAAGAAGCCTAAAGTAAACCACATAGTCTTCTTTATTAACAAAAGTAAAACATATTTAACATCTTTTAAGTCCAGGACCATTTAAGTAAAAACATCTGTGCAATAGCAGCGATATCAAACGTAGAGACGAAGGCGCTGATGTCAGACAATCATCGGCTAAATGTGTTCATCAGACCGATACCGATGTATGGGAAACAACACTGATGTCGGCCGATACCGATGTGGTCGGCGATATATCATGGACCTACCTGGAGACGTACAACCAGGGCTAACACATCGACAGTCTTGAAGCTTAGAGGTAGAGTAGCTGCTGAGGCTTCATGACCGGCCTCAGCTTCTTCCAGCTAACTGTTATCATAAGAAGTTCTGGTCAGACTGCACCTTAAATGGAAAACTTTTTATAGTAGAACATCTTCAACATCAGTGTGCAATCAGAACAGTCGTACTGGAATGCTGGTTTATGATAAGATTTAAAATCAACACGTCCTGCACTGTTATCTAGATGAAGCAGCACAACTTCAGTTCTGCAGAACGTCTGTCTGCGCCTCCTCCATCAGTACGCTCTCTGTTTGTCTTTGTGATGAATTATTTGTGAGTTCTCAGCCTCTGTGGTTACGGATGTTGTTCCTCGTCATGCCTGCGTCTGTCCGAGTTTCTCCTAACTCAGCCATCCAGGAGCTTCCTCTAGTTGTCGGATGTTTTGTGAACCCTGATTATAAAAATATTTGCTTTTTGTTTGTGTTTATTTTGTGTTGAAACTTTATCAAATGAATCCAGTCTAATGTAGTCTATGTGATTTAAAAACAATCATGTTCAGAGCAGCTTGGAGAACTGATAGACTAATATAACACCGGAAATGTGATGTTGTACGATGTAGATAATGGCACCGTGTTGATGTGTGGCCCTGTGTGTGTTGGTGGCGTTAGGAGTCCCAGCAGCTGTGTGCCTGTCAGCAGAAACTCCAGAAAGTGCAAGAAGAGCTTGAAGGAACTCAGAGTCACCGTGAAGCTCTGACCAGAGAGCTGGACGCAACCAAACTGTTGACCAAAGAGACGGTACTGATCATATTGAAACCATCCATCCATTAGCTCCACCCACCTGTACCAGGGCTGCTACATCGGCAGTCTTCAGACTTAATGATGACTCTGAATGAGATTTTAATCAGATACCAAAAAAGGAAAACATGTAGGAAAAGTAAGACGTCGTTATCAACTAGAGTTCGTTAGAGAACATCTGATCTTTGCACATGGCTGTACTGTTCCTACCAGTAATTCATCTGTGGTGTGTGTTATCGCAGGAGGCCCAGCTGTGTAGTTTGGAGGAGGAGCTGACTCTGAAGGAGGCTGACTGGCTGCAGGCGGAGGCCAGGCTGCAGAGCACGGTGGCGTCTCTGGAGCAGCAGCTGGAGGTGGAGAGGGAGCAGCACAGCGAGGAGGTAGAGTAGCTGCTGAGGCTTCACGACTGGTGCCAGCTTCTTCCAGCTAACACATGAAATGTTATCATAGGAAGTTCTGGTCAGACTGCACCGTAAATGGAAAACCTTTTGTAGTAGAACATCTTCAGCATCAGTGTGCAATCAGAACAGCTGTACTGGAATGCTGGTTTATGATGAGATTTAAATTCAACACATCTAGAGGAAGCAGCACAGCTTCAGTTCTGCAGAGTTTCTGTCTGTACCTCTTCCATCAGTGCGCTCTCTGTTTGTCCACGTAGTGAAGGGCTTGTAGGTTCTCAGCCTCTGTGGTCAATGCTGTTGTTCCTCATCATGTCTGTGTCTGTCGGATTTCATTTCCTTTTTTTAAGAAATTTCTTTTAAAAACTGTCAGTGATGCATCAGGAGCTCCTGTTTGTTCCTCATCTCTTTCACACACTGCTGAGAACATCCGAGTTCCTGCTGCTGGTTTTGAGGATGCTCTGTGTTTGTCCTGCTCTACTCTGACCAGATGCATCAAGAGGAAGAATTATTTTTGTGTTCCTATAGCGGCACATCATAAGCACATGAAACGAATAATCGCTAATGCATCGCTAACACCCAGTTTCAGCTTCATCTTCGCCGGTGTTTTAACCCTGCTCTCCTCCGTTTGTTTTCCCTCCCAGCTGGAATCTCTGCAGCAGACTCGAGGGCAGCTCCTCAAAGTGTCAGAGCAGATCTCCTCCTCCATGCGCTCCTCTCAGGAGCAGCTCACCGTGAAGCTACAGCAGAGCCAGATCCAGCTCAAGCAGGCCAAGGCCCAGCTGGATCAAACTAAGGTTGAGCTGGATCGCATCCAGAACCAAGCCAGTCAGCTTCAAACACAGCTAGACCAGAGCCAGGCTCAGCTGGAGCACAGCAGAGTCCAGAACAGTCACCTCCATGTCAAGCTGGAGCAACTGACAGCCCAGTTGAACCAAACCAGAGTCCAGGCTGCCCAGCTCCAGACTCAGCTACACGCCTCTGAGAAGTGTGTGCAGACCTCCACTGACTCCCTGCTCATCAAGGTAGTCTTTAGTGTTAGCGTAATGAAAGCTGCACACTGGAAGCTCTCTGTAGCATTTCATCAGAGTCTCTGTTCTCGTTTTCCGGCAGGAGTCTGAGGTGACGCGTCTCCAGGCCAGAATCTCCAGTCTGGGACGAGCTGCTGACCGACACAATCTGTTCAATCACACACTTTCTCTCCCTTCTCTGCACAAACTCGCTCCGGAGAGCTCTGTCTCAGCTCGCTCTCCTCCGTCTTCTCCCAGAAAGCCTCAGACAGCAGTCCACTCTCCTTCACGTGCTCACTCGGGGCTCCTGCGCTCCCCGACTCACACACAGACCCGTTCATCACCTCCTGCTCACTCGTACCTCCAGCCCTCTGCGGCCGTTCACCTGTCTGAGAGCAGCATCGGCTCCTCTCTGGACCTCCCTCTGAGCCTGAAGGCCACGCTGAGGGAGGCGCTGAGCAGCAAGCAGCCGTGGGACTCCTCCTCACTTTCCAATTCCTCTTTCTTGGACTCGGCGGACCACAGCTGGCAGGGCCTCTGTGCGACCGAGGCCACGGCAGCGTCCGACCTCTCCTTCAACCCGCTCACGTACATGGTGGAGAAACAAAGTGATCTGGAGGCTACCTCGATGCAGGAGGGAGGAGACGAGCTGCTCAGTGAGTCCAGGAGGGAGTCTGTGAGCACTCTGGTGGCTCAGGAGGAGGAGGAGGAGGAGGAGGACATGAGCTCACTGACGGGGATGCTGAGGTTTGTGAATCAGACGTTAGCCATGCAGGAAGATACTTCTCTATGGAGCTCCACACACCTGTCGCAGACCTGACAGACTCCAGGTATAAACACTCACCGAACCAGTTCATCAATCAGCACAAAATTACTTCAAGCAGAGAATATTCTGCAAATTCCATGTATGTCAGCCTAAATAGAATATCTTTGGGTTTGGGATTGTGTCATGCAGCACTTTGGGAAATGTCGTATTTATTTCTTTTTTCTAACATTCATTGACAAAATAATAAGATCGCCCAGTGACTGGTGTGTTAAAGTGTGTTTATAGTCATCTAAACAGACAGTCAGCAAAAATAATCCGATGTGTCCTCGCTTGGCTGAACACTGCCTTCTGAATAGTCTCTCATGTGGCTCCAGCCAGCCTCTGCCTCCAGTAATAAGTGTTTACAAGACAGACTTCACATCCCAGTCGGATCCAAGGCGCTCTGCTAAAGTTCCTCTACAGTAGGGCTTGTCAGACTTACTACTCAAAGGTCCACATCAGCATTTAGTTCAGATGATTGGAAAGAGCCGAACAACAATAACTAAACAGTTCATCCACTCACTTATAAGCAACATGTTGAAATTCAAGGCAGTCGAGATGGTAAAAATACATCTGAGCTCAGGGGAAGAAACTGAAGTGTTTGCCTTAAACCCCTGCTGTACAGAGAGGAGATAAATCGCTTCATAGATGTTATTTGACTGTAATGAGATACAAGGAGAGGTCAAAAAGGTCATAGAACGATGTGCAGCAGCAGCACACCGTGCATTGTACTGTTATTTTTCAATATAGTCCCTATTTAGTGCACCTGGCCCACTGTAGACTGTCTACACCTTTAAAATAGAAGTCTTCAGGGCCACTGCTATAGCTCACCTGGTTGAGTTGGTGTCCCATGAATCGAACCGGTACATTTGGGGGGGATTTAAGATCCAACATTTACTGTGGAGGCATCAAACTACAGTAAATGCTGGATTTACTGGAACCCTGGTTTAACATTTTTTTGGCTGTTATTTGTAAAAATGAATGAAGAGCAACCGCTGTGGATATATGAAACGGAAGCAGCGTAACGGAGTCAGTGTATCGAGGCCAGCGTCCCCAACGCAGCGGTCAGGGGTTCAAATCCAGCCCGTGGCCATTTGCTGCCGGTCACTTCCCCCATTCTTCTCCCCACTTTCCTGTCTCACTCTCTACTGCCATGTCAAATAAAAGGCGTAAAAAAAATCGAAGTCTTCCTTTTGGTCCTCAGACCGCGCCTCAGTGGCAGCCTTGAGCTCATCCAAAAATCTGGTTCCACGCAAATGTGATTTCAAATTTCTAAACCGGTGAAAGTCCCTGAAGGCCAGATCTGGACTGTAGGGTGGAGGCAGGACCACCGTACACCTCAGCCAGCCGCCGGGGAGCTTCTTTGGCATTCTACTGATTTTTTTTCTTCTTTTATTATTTATGGCGTTTTAACCTTGTTACATTGAAGAAAGACATTTTTACATTTTCTCTGCTTTTTGTCTTTTTGTTTCTGTGGAGGTGCAGAAAGTGAAAAATGAAAACACAGCGAGTAAAAATGAGAAAACAACAACCAAATACTCAGAAGCTTCTTGGAGTCCAGAGAGTTGAGACCAGATTAAAGAGAAAGCTCTTCAATTTCCCTTCAAAAATATGAAGATAGCGTGCCATCCTGATACCGAGAGATCCGTTTAAAAGCAGGAGGCAGCTTCACACGAGGAACATGAAATAAAAGAATATCAGCAGAGTTATTTAAAGCTTCATAAACAAGCAGAAGAACTTTATCGTCTGTGTCTTACATGTTTGCTTTTCCCTTTTAGGGGGACGTCGAGGAGGAGAGCTGTTTACATTGGTGGAGTTATAGTCTGTCTTCACTACAATCAAACATCATCTGTCCCTAAAACACTGAACATGATCATTCCAGATGACACGACTTTCCCAGTAAATGATCTCCTGTGGTGTTTGACATGAATGAAGCGCCTTGGATTCCTTTTTTTTTTATCTTTATAGCACCAATATTTATATATTTCTACGAAGGTTTACATAAGCTAAGTGAATTAAAGAGTTTTTATTTAAGGTTTTCCTCCCTGTGTGTGTTTTGTTTTTAAATCTATCCTGGCATGTCTGAGTTATTCTCCAGAGGACCGCGATCTTCTGCTCTCACCATGATGTTCCCATGCTGCTGCTGCTGGCTGCTGTGGGCTCCAGTTACCACAACAACTGGCTGCTCGCTGTCCAGGGGAGGAATTTTTTTTGTTTGGCTCAGCGCGCTGAATCTAGCGCAGACTCAAGCTGGTTAAATTGGATTTTGCATTCATGTGGTTACGTAACGAGAACATCAGAAACGCTCGGCTGTTAGAGATTAGTTTAACTCCTTCAGCGCTTCCTTTCATTTCTCGTCAGATTAACCACCGGCGTGGTCGTCTGTATGAGTTTAGCTGTCGATGTGAGAAACGGTGTTCTGTTAGGGGTGATATTACCGTTATTCTCTGTTGAGCTCAAACAGCAGGATTTTTCTCATCGTGTTTTATCTCCAACCTGAGTCCTTTAATTCTTTCTTGCTTGGAGTTAATTTAGAAAAGATTGATCTCACACTCATGTCTGTTTAATATGAAGCAGCTGCAGTGGTGGAGAGTAACTAAGTACATTTACTCAAGTACTTGTGTTACTTTCTTCTTTCACTGTACATTTTCAGAAGGACATCTTGTACTTTCTCCTCCAGTTTATTACTATTTGTTTACATTTATTATTAAGCAGCCTCAGTTACTTTTAAGAAGAAGATTTTACACAATGAATAATATAAAAAGCTTTTACAATACAGCACTTTGTTAAAGATTAAAGCTGTGTTTTGTGACCTTTTAGGCTTTTGATGTCTGACTGCACACTGTTTTTATTATTTTTTTATTTTGTAAAAGTCACATTTTTCGATGATTATTTTCCTTTAAACTTCTCACATGGTTTCATGTCAGTGAACGTTCACATGAGCCGCTATCTCACCAACAAATCAAAGATCAGAGGAGAAGACCCAAAACTAAAAAACAGATTTATATAACAGAACTTTGTTTTTTCTTCTGCCCTCTCTCATTAATCATGTCCTAACCCCTCAGATCTGTCTGCTGTCCCTGTTTATATAAAACTAAAGTATTTCAAACTTCCTGCAGCTCCAACGCTGACACACTGCTGACATAGATAATATATCAGTCAGAGGGACTAAACCACTACTTTCACTTTGATACTTCAGTTACATTTTGCTGTCAGTACTTCAGTAGGACTCTTCCTGCCTAACTTACAGACCATCCTTTTACGTTTCTGTGTTGATGCTTTCTGATGTGCATCCACCTCTGAGATCCAGCAGAGGTTGAATTCACCTAAAGTCAGCCCAGATGCTGGTAAAACGGACAAACGAGACACAGAATCGGCCTTCTAGCGCCTCTTAAGTGGTTTGCTGGTTGCCTGGCAACCTGACAATGACAAAAAAATGAGTCCAGGAAGTCACTGCAGCCATAAATAGGTCCGTAGAGAAGCTCTTGTTAAAACCACATGCTATAGTTTTGAAGTTTGCTATTTGAGCAGCGTACAGAGTTAATAAATGAGCTTCAGGGGTGCTGGTATGTGGATCTTGTTAGCTTTACAGAGCACCAAGCTACAGTCGCGGAAAAAATGATTAGACCACCTTATCTTTTCCAGTTTCTTGTTCATTTTAATGCCTAGTGTCACTAAAGGTACATTTGTTTGGACAAATATAATGATAAAACAGCTGATAAGAGTTTAGTTTCAGAGCTGATATCAGACATGTTCCAGGGTTTTCTGGATAATAACCAACATCACTGAAGTTCTTCCATCAGTAGCTATGGCATAGTGCTGCCAGAAACAGAGCTTTTAGGCTTTTCTGACTGTTTTAGTCACATGATGCACAGGAGTTAGTACCTGATGGCAAAACCATAGCTTCTGATGACTGCAGCCATGCGTCTTGGCTGCTCTCCACCAGCTTCTGACATGGTTCTGCTGCCACAGCAGCCCATTCCTGTTACACTAGTTCAACTAATGTGCTTTGTTTTTGGGCTTGTGCTTCTCTATTTTATGTCTGAATGTAGATCTGATGACTGAGCAGGCCAAGGCATGGTTCTGATGTTCTGGTTCTCCATCCAGGAAAGAGTTTTCCAGCTGATGGCAGAAGACTGTTTTCTAGAGCAGCCTGTACATAACCTGGTCCATTCCCTATGTTCCACCCAAACTGGAACCAGCCCAGATGGTCACGGATCCATCCCCATGTTTTACTGTAGGGGCAGGACAGTCTGGTCTGGAGGCTACTCCAGGCTTCCTCCTCACCAGGAAGTGGGCTGGAGTGGGCATCAACTGAACATTGGATTCATCCCTGAAGAGAACCTCAGCCCAACCATCACCAGTCCAATCCCTGTGATCCCAGCAGAGAGGAACCGGGCTTTCCTCTGCCTTTGGTTGATGAAGGGTTTCTTCTGCCTGTGTGACTTCAGACCAGCTTCTAGAAGTTGGTTTCCAACTGTCCTTGGCCAACAAGTCACATTTCTCTTCATTTTAAGGTCCCTCGAGGTCTGACCACAATTCCTGACACAGAACAGATGAGTGCTCGGTCATCTTGTGGGTAGAAAGACGTTTCCTGCTGCCACCAGCTAGCAATGTGGTAGCACCATGGTGGGCTGGTTGTTTCTTGGTGTAATGAACGTCTGTCTTGGAGATCTTCAGGTTCTTCTCTACCTGTCTCTCACTCATGCCAGTTTCCAGCAGAGCCAAGATGGCTGCCTTTGTGGCTTCACATAACTCTTTTGTTTTAGGCGTTATGTGAGAGCTGACAGCTTCTGAGTTGTGCTACGGCCTGAATGTCAGCAGGAAACCACTCCAGGCCTTTGCATGTGCTGCTGCTGACATGAAACGGCCTCTTATAGACCCTACAGGGAACACAATGCAGCTGAAGCAGGTCACACAGGACATAAAGGATGATGGATCAGCTGCATGTTTGTTCATCATATTCTTCAGGTGATGCACCTTTAGTGGTGCCAGGCATAAAAGAAATTGAAGAAAACAAGGTGGTCTGAAGGTTTTATCCATGACTGTAGCTGGTTCTTTACACTCTTTATGTTGAGGATGGATGGATGGATGGTTGGATGGATGGTTGGATGCACACTATTTTAAAAATACATGCTAGGTTAAAAAGTCAACATATTAAAAAGGATTTATTTGGAATAAGATAAAACAAAAACACTCCGTACATTTGTTTAACTGCCCATTTGCGAACAGCTTATCGCAACCATTTTTTTAAACTGTTCCTTTAGTACTGAGTACGACCTGATTCAGACCAGGCGTTAAGATCGCATAAAAACCATAGTAACAGTGAGATCACGTGTTGCAGGTCATAGAGGATTGTATACGAGGTCTTTGCTCTGGCAGGAGGACCATCAGCAGGCGGGTTTAATGACACCGAGTGATTTCCTGCCTGCATACGAGGGGTCGAGGGGGCTGTTTACATTTCCTAGCCACTGGTTACTGCAGGTTTTCTCATTGTGTGTGTGTGTGTGTGTGCGTGTGTTTTGTGTGCGATAGAAGGACACAAAGGCTGCAGTCACCTCGGTCAGTAAACCAACTGCTTGTGTTAGAGGTGGACGGATCATTCAGGCTGCTGCGACTGATCATTCAGGCCTTTTAGATCTAGTTTAAGACTCGTCTCTGTTGTTTCTCCTGCTGAGTTTTTGTATGCTGACAACCAGTGTGAGTATAGAGGATGTGGTTCAGCCGGCGGTGAGTTGCGTGCAGTGTAGCTGTGCTCTAGTTCCTCAGTAAAACTTCCCAAGTGTGTGTAACTGCAACGAGTCTCCACAGCTGTCTGTCTAACTTTACACAGAAATATCACTTCTCACTTTTATTGGAGGCAGTTGATGAGATGACGGTTGGGTTCCCACTTTCCCACTGGCCTGGAGATAGATTATGACTGGGTGCAGGACTCCCCTTCTGTCCACCTCTGCAGCTTGTTTTAAATCCACTGTTGGCACTGCTGGAAGAACAAAACAGTGCACAGATGACTCCTAACATCCATTGTGTTTGTGTGTCACAGTCCTACGATTGCATAAGTTGAGTGCAGGTCACAGCTGGCAGGACACCAAACACTCATGTGAAGTAAAAATGGGCGTGAAGTTTAATGTTCTAAAAATAAATACGTCAGTTTCTCACAAGATGCCTGTACACATCTGTTGTTGTTTGCTGCTTTATGTATGTGAGAAAAATACCACATAGCGTCCAGTAACACAGTAAGCTGCTGGTTTCTGCTTTTTGGTTTTGTAAAGATTAAACAAAAGACATATTCATTGTTTAAAATGCCATTTAAAAGTAAAATAAGTGATTGCATAAGCATCCCCCCCTTCAAGAACTGTGTTTACTAGATTCATCTTTGGCTGCAGTAACAGGAGTAAGTCTGTGTGGATCGTCCCAATCAGCCTGCACATCTGGATGCTGCAATTTTACCAGATTTTTCTTTGCAAAACTGTCCATGCTCTGTCAGGTTGCATGGGGATCATGGAGCTGCCCTTTTGAAGTCCAGCAACAAATTCTCAGTTAGATTAAAGTCTGGCCTCTGACTCAGCCAATCCAGAACGTTCTCCTTGTTGTCTTTCATCCATTTCTCTGCAGCTTCGGCTGTATGTTTCAGGTCACATATCTTCTCCCGTCGCAGGGCTCTTGCAGACTTCATTTCCCTATACTTCACCGCATTCGTTTTCCACCTTTACGAGCCTTCTAGGACTTCCTGTCGAGAAACAGCATCACATCATGATGCTGCCGCCACCATGCTTCACAGTGAGGATGGTGCAGTGTTTGGAATCCACCATAACATACCGGCTAATCTGATGGACAAAAAGATAAAATTTGGTCTCATCAGCCCAAAGAACCTTCTGCCAGTTGACTCCAGAGGCTCTCGCATGCCTTCTAGTGAACTCCACTTGAGATTTTGTCAACAGGGGCTCTTTCTTTGCCACTCGTCCCATAAAGCTTTGACTGATGACAAACAGGAAGCAGTTGCTGTGCACACATACATGTGTAACCGCTCGTTTCTCT